TCGGTAGGAATCCGCTGCATGCAGCGGCACAATGTGGTCATGCCGCAATTATCGAAAAATTGCTGTCTCGTGGTGCTGGCATGATTAACTCAAAAGATGACAATGGAAATTCACCCCTAAAAATTGCTACCACTTATGGCAAGAGAGAAGCCGTACATTTTCTCTTGGAAGCTGGAGCCGATCTGTCCGTAAACGTGAAAAACCGGTTTAATACGAGTCTGTTACACGCAGCTGCGAAGGGAGGTGATGTGGAAATCATCAAGACAATGCTGTCACGTGGTTTAGATGCAAACTCAAAAGACAGTAACGGTCGAACACCGTTAATGATTGCAAAACTCAACGGTAAAACTGAGGCAGTAGCACTCTTACTCAGCAAGGAAGGACGTTAATCCATTCCTTGAAAAACAGACAGACAGCCACCGTAGACCTTGTCTCGATAAGTCTTGTCTGGCAAACATAAATACATGTATTTACGAAGAAGCTCCAGGAATTAAGCTCATTCATTACTTTCTTACTTTATGTTTTATCTTAAGGGGCCATTACAGGATCTTTCGTTAACCTTCTGAATGCCCTGGCAAACTGAAATAACATTATGTTCACAGTTATGTTTTACTATGACCACACTATAACCATATTTCCATATTTGATACTATTTTGATTCTAGTGCGAGTAATTTCGGAACAATTCTCTACCTAGATTTATTTTGTTTTATCATCTTTTGAATAGGAGTCCCTTTTAGAAATATGATACACACACACACACAAAAAAAAGAAGAAAAAAGATTTCAAAGTTTTTCTTAGAGAGTCGGAATCATATCTTGTTGTAGCTAGGGCGCTCAGTAGAATTATCCTTATCAGTTACAAATATATTTTATCCTACTTCTTCGCTTATTACTCATCAGTCTTTAAAGAAGTAAACCGTTTCGTAATTAAAAGCATCACCTCTCTAAAGGTATTTTTTCGGTAATACCCGAAGTCTTAGTGCAAGCTAAAGAGCTTAGAATCGATTTTATCAGATGAACAAGCCATGGCATGTGTGTAGGTCTTCTGTAGCTTAGCGTGCCTGCGACAAGTTTTGAGCGCTGCTTAAAGAGGACTGGGTCGAACTTATAAACAAATTGATATGGGTAGACTCAATGTTAAATGAGTATCTTTATTTAATTTGCTTCGTTAAGCTTAAAAAAAAGAAACAAAAAAAAAAAAAACAGCAGTCCGACAACGTGAATTGCCGATAGACCCAGCTTTCCTTGCCTGCATTCAATGGGCTTTTGATTGTGTTTTTTCTTCAGTTATTACAGAGTATAATCCTCATGCAATTAAGAAAATTCTCGGACACTGGAGCAGATATTTGCTTGTCTTTTCATTGTTCTGCAGTAGTCATTCAATAAAGATCGCTGGTTTACAAGTTTAGTGATGGTGACATTATTCCATGAATGCGTCGTTGAACGTTTCTTTCAACAGGAACCGGGGCGACACCTTAATTCTTTAACCCTCGAAGTCCCCTGAGTGACCAAGACATATTTCTACTCGCAATAGTCTATCAAAACAGTACCGAGCTGAGAAGTCCCAAGAATAAAAAAATATGTCAATTTAGGGACCATAAGCTGATCCAATTAACAAATGGTAAACACCACATCGTACACTATTGAGTTATGGATGCCCGCGGGAGGTGGCTAAGCACGAAAAAAGCGTAAGAGTCGCTCGAGGCGATAGCTGTACTCGCCTCTATCTTATCGTTTGCTTTGTTAAGCAATCGCTTCAGTAATTTGGTTATATCAACTAAGTTACAATTGTAAATTGGCCACAGTAAAGAGTTAAAAAGCTGATGTTTCGAGCGTTAGCCCTTCGTCAGAGCGAATGACGAAGGGCTAACACTCGAAACGTCAGCTTTTTAACTCCACGGTGGCCAATTTGCAATTTCAACTTAGGCGATATACTAAATTGCCATGTTACCCCCACAGACGCAGCATCACAGTTTCTTTACAAATTTACCCCCTTTATTCATTAATCACTTCAGTAGTTTCGTATCGACTCAGGAAGGTGATGTATGTCAGTTAAGAGAGTGCGCTATGTTCAGAAGACCAAGTTGGCATAAGAGCCGCTTTGTGCTACTGAAATATAGTTTAGCCATAGGGCTGCAAAATATCGAATAAACTACCCATCTACCTACCAACTGAATAGTAAATCAGTTCTGCAAAGGAAAGGTTGACCGGATCCAATCACATCCTGGGCAAGGAGCTCAAAATTTTCCTAAGCTAAAATAGCAACTTGTGCTTAGGCGATGTTTATAAATTTTGCTACAGGTTAACCAGTTCCACATACAACAATGACCATCGAAAGCTCCGGAATCACGCGTCATCATGCATGTAACCCACATGACCCAGTCGAACAAAAAACAAAGCAACAAAATGCCTGACTGCACTCAACGGTCCAAGCTTGATTGGTTTACAATCTTTAGCCTCGACGTTTTAAGCTCCGAACCTTCGGAGAAACATGTCTATTTTTAGTTTGTCATGAAGGGAAATTAAAATATTTCGCTTGTTAGGTAGCGTATTTTTTTGCACGCGCCCAATTCAATGGATACAATATTCTGAAATAATGTCTCATAAGATGTATTTGGAAGACTGCTTAATGAACTAATCAGGGAAAGGCAAATCGTCAACTCATCCGATGCTACTTTTCCTTGAAATGATTTCTATGTATGGACTTGAGAAACTTTTCACCTTATTAGCGTGCACGAGTTTCTCGTTGATTTAAAGTCAAGATTTACATCCTTGACGTTAGATTCGCAGTTGTAGTAAACACCTATGCCTGTGCGACTGCAGTAACGCTTGTCTCTAAAACAAAACAAATAAGTCCCAAAACTAAAGAGAAGGTATTCATATTGGATAGAGACGAGCACAGCTTCATTCCGTTTCAACGTGTCGGCGATTTTAAGACAAGAAATCTAAATATATACAACAAAGCATCCAAATTTGTGGCTACAAAGGGTTCGTAGTCATGGTGACGGTGACGTCTTTACAACTCAGGCTGGAGTCAGTTGACTGAGATATCTAGTGGAATACTTTCGATTCGAGTTGTGCCGCTTAAGTGAAAGCTAATAAACATGGCGCACTCAACAACAACAGGGAGAAATTTGCCAGCAATTCCTTAAATTGCCAAGGCAAGGGCATCTCCCACTTGGGCTGCTGATTGCTAAGTTCAATACATCAAAATAAAGGTACGTTATTTTTATAATACGCCGTTCATTCAAGTTACCCACGATGCATGATCCCAAGGCGAGCAGACGTGACGTCAGAGGGTAACGATACAAAGATGCGAAACTGATAGGTTGTTGGCGACTAAACAACTTTGCATAACAGATTGAAACAGCTCCTTCCGCTATCGAAAAAATAGTTCAAAAAGCTTGTGAATTTCACCATCAAAACCTCATAGTTTGAAGTGCACTACATCGCTATGTCTTACGTAGCATACAAGAGTCTGCTTTCTGACATACGCCGACAACTCGAGCTGCACGATCATCAACAGTTACTCGAGATGTGTGGATTGGACGACGAGGCGGCCAACATTCATGATACCCGTTCGTTGATGAGGAGACTAGAAGAAAAGAAACGTTTTACAATTGACGAGCTGGGAGACTTGGAGGAAGTCTTGGAGAGTTTAGAGGAGTTTTCTCTGTTGGGAAAGCTCAAAAAGTTCGAGAGCAAAAGGAAAGAGTATAACGATTTACTAGAAAAGATAAGTGGTGCACTCAATGACGACGAGCGCAATCATATGGAACAAGTCATTAATATCGTTAAAAGAGAGACTTCGGTTGACTTTTCAAGAGAGAACATTCCCAGTATTTTGACGTTATTCCAAAAACTACAAAAACATGGAAGTTTGGGATTTCGCAGACTCAACTTTGTGAAAAGGATTCTGACAGAAATTGACAAGGAAGACCTGGTAAGAGAAATCGAGGATTATGAGAAGCGTCGTAATAAGAAGGATGCATCTGAAAGAAGAAAAGGTAAATAAAAGTTTGTGTTGATTTGCCTATGAAAACAGTAAAGGCAGTTGTGTCTAGTGAGAACATCCGAGCAGAATCTCACCTACGTTTTGATCCTCCCGTATCTGAACCTTCCAAAATAATTGTTGAAATGCATTTCGTGTGAAAAACTCCTTGCAGCTACAACATTTCACAGTACGAGGAGACTCGACTATCACTGAACTGTCTCGGGATCGACTTCTTTCTCGATCCTCTGAATGGATTGTGTCTGGTGTCTCTCAAGATAACTATGTTCTTATTTTCTTTTAAATCTAAGCTGAATGGTACTCATGGGGAAAATCTTTTGCCAGAAAGGTGAAAGGAGGTAAGTAGAACTTTTCGTGTAAAGCAGCAGCGTCGTTCATTGTGTATCAAAATTTGCAACGGTATCATTACATGATATATTGATGTTAAGTTTACCTGTCCTAACCTGACCGTGCATATCAACAGAAGTTCAGATAAGGGTTAAATGAAAGCTATTTTACGGAAAGATTATGATTTACGGAATGATTATGAGGGGCTATCAGTGAAAACTCGAGCGTACGTTAGAAGTTAAGCTGACTGATTGGGTTCACTGATTCAAGGACAAAGATCTGACGCGCCATTCTTTTACCGAGAGAGTAGCATACAGGGTTCACAATGGCGTGATGTCAAACCCAAAGTTGTTTAAACTGTCCTCTTTTTTACATTAGGTTCCTCTTTGAACCTGGTGTTTTGCACAACGCTGTTTTGAGTGCATGATTGATTTCGCCTTAAACAATATCAAAAAGAATAGAAATCAATTTTGGCCCTTCTCTTCCACCACTAAATTGGCGTATCAGATAACGGCGAATTATGCGATTACATCGGTCTCTAATTTTGTGAGATTTAACGCCACTAACTCGGTTTGTATATTGTACGATTTTACGCCGTTAGTTAACGGCGTAAAATCGTACACTTAATATCTTAACTACTAAACATAACACAAATACTTAGTAAAAGACATAACGCCGTTAGTTAACGGCTTAAAATCTTACAATTACTCAGTAAAAGAAATAACCCCGTTAGTTAACGACGTAAAATCGTACAATAAACATAACGGACTGAACGAAATTACGGCGTTAGTTAACGGCGTAAAAAAATCTCCCAAAATATATAACCGGACTGAACAAAATTACACGGGTCGGTACATTTCGCTGACCCCTAGTCCATGGACTACCCCGATGGACCCGGTCCATGGACTACTTGTATGGACTACCCATGGACTACTCTAAGTGGATTACAAGTAGTCCATGGACCGGGTCCATCGGGGTAGTCCATGAACTTGGGGTCAGCGAAATGTACAAACCCAAATTACACCGTTAATTAACGGCGTAAAATCTCTCAATATATATATAACAGACTGAACAAAGTTACGCCGTTACTTAATGGCGTAAAATATCCCAATAACAGACTGAACGAAATTACGCCGTTAGTTAACGGCGTAAAATCTTCCAATAAATATAACAGACTGAACGAAACTAAGCAGTTAGTTAGCGGCGTAAAATCTCCCAAGAGATGGAGCGAAATTACGCCGTTAGTTAAGGGCGTAAAATCTCCCAATATATACAGCAGACTGAACAAAATTACGCCGTTAGTTAGCGGCGTAAAATCTTTCAATCTATATATTACAGACTGAACGAAGTTACGCCGTTAGTTAACGGCGTAAAATCGTACAATAAACATAATACGGACTGAACGAAATTACGCCGTTACTTAACGGCGTAAATCTCCCAATATACATAAAACAGATTGAACGAAATTACTCCGTTAGTTAACGGCGTAGAATCTCTCAATATATTCATATATATCAGTATAATTGCAGAGCTGAGCAAAGAGTTTCCAGCAATCTGATTGGTCGAACGGTTCCTTATATGACGCTATATAAACCGCTCCACGCGGTTTATATAAAATGTTAATAAATGTTACTAAAATGTTATGATTTTAGAAATGTCTCTGTTATTCAGCTCTAAAATTATACTAAAACAATGATTTGCTTCAGTTCCGGTGAACATTGTCGAATACTGAATCCCCTCGACTTCGTCTCGGGGATTATTCGACGATATTCACCTCGCCTTTGGTGAATAAGTGTTAAAAATAACTGACTGAACGAAATTATGCCGTTAGTTAACGGCGTAAAATCTCCCAATACATATAACAGACTTAACGAAATTACCCCGTCAATTGAAGGCGTAAAATCTCCCAATATCTATAACAGATTGAACGAAATTACGCCGTTTGTTAACTGCGTAAAATCTCTCAATATATAACAGACTGAACGAAATTACGCATACATACATACATACCTACATAATCTTTATTTAAACACGGTGATTTTTAAAGCTACGCCATTTTTAACGGCGTAAAATCCCTCAATATATATAACAGATTGAACGAAATTACGTCGTTAGTTAACGGTGTAAAATCTCTCAATATATATAACACACTGAACGAAATTACGCCGTTAGTTAACGGCATAAAATCCCTCAATATATCGGCGGATTCATGTTGACGTCATTGTTTACATTTTTGCTCATTTGCATACGGCTTTGCGTAAAGAAGGAAACATGTTAGATACAAATTGGCTTCAGGTAGCTAAAGAGCTAGAAAACTTTAGTACATGGTGAAATTTTTAGCTCTTGGGTGTAATATTCAACGAGAAATAGTCCATCAAAATCTGCAAAATTTCTGGGTGGCAAAAGCGCTAATGAGCTCATACATTCTTTGTAAAATTTTGAGTTTTTAAACCCGTGTTGCACAAAAAGTATTCAATGCACCAGGCTCGTATTCATTGGCCGAGTTAATCGTACTTTGATCTTTCGATATTCAGAACTGATTTATTTTTAGCTCCATCAGAAACTGAATTGCTTATGCTAATAAGGCAAATATTGTAAACAAGGATTCCCCTATATGACAGATTGAACGAGATTACTGGCGCCGTTAAGTAATAGTTAACAGCGCCCGTAAAATCTCTCAATATATATATAACAGACTGAACGAAATTACGCCGTTAGTTAACGGCGTACTGAACCTCTCAATATGTGAACACCGACCGAACGAAATTACGCCGTTAGTTAACTGCGTAAAATCTATTTATATATAACAGACTGAACGAAATTACGCATACATACATACATACATACCTAACGCGATGATTTTTAAAGCTACACCGTTAGTTAAATTGTAACCAAAATAGGTCTAATCTGTCAAATTATCCCCTGTTCGATCCTTTCCACCGTGTTTATTAGGTCAAATTTAATGGTAAATTTGGGGGTCTTAGTTTTCGTAGTTTCGAAAACTAAGACCCCCCTTAGTTTTAGTTATTATGAAAACTAAGACCTTCACCAAACCATTCTGTAAAATTTCTTCAAAGTCGAATTACTATCATACTTGACGATCCGGCATACGAACGACTCAAACTCCGAGTTTCCGCGCCAAGACGTACCGCGTGCGCATACGCTATTCAGCTCTGTCACAGGTAACGCAATCTCGATTGCAGAGACACGAAGAAAAACATCCATCTCCAATGAAAGGCCAATTTTATGATTTAAAGGATAAAAAAAAATTATTGACCAATAGGGGTAAGGCATATTTTCAGTGTAAAATTATTATACTGACTTTCAGTCATCCTCTTTATAAAGCCACAGTGCTGATAGTGTATGTCTGCAAATTGTTTGAAGAGGCGAATCGTCGAGCATGCGTACGATAGTAGGTTTTGGTTTTTTCATGAATTATAGCCTTTGAACGGTCCACATCGATTTGACAGTTGATTGATGCAAGGTGGGAAAATGTTTTTGAAGACCACCCTTAGT